CCTCCTCCTCTTCCTCCTCCTCCTCCTCTTTCTTCTTCTTCGTCTTCTTTTTCTTCTTCTTTTTGAGATTGGGATTTTAATTCGACAGCACCATCATCATCATCATCATCACCACAACCATCAGTAGCACTGTCACAAATCACCAATGGTAATCAAAATGATTCTGAAAGTAACGGCCAATGTTTGAGCTAGTCTCCCCAAACGTATAAGACTTTGTACTCATATTTGGACGTGAGTCGGAAGCAAGAGGTGAGTTGGCTATGTCGGGGAAATATCATTTTTTTATTGACGACGAGGGGGGAAGGGAGGTAGAAGGGGTGTGAAGTTAGGTGGGTGGACGGGGGAGGGGAGAAAGAAGGGAAACAAGAAGGGGGTGGGGGGTAGGGAGACAAGGAAGGGAAAGAAGGAAGAGAGGGAAGGGAGATAAGGGAGGGTAGGAGGGGAGGGAAAGGAGGTAAAGAAGGAAGGAACGGGGGGGGGAGAGCAGAGGGAAGACGGGGTGGGACGAGAGGGGAGGGAGGGAAAGGAGAGAGAGAGTGGGGGGGGGAAGGAAGCAGGGGAGGTGAGACGGGAGGGAAGGGAGGTGGGAGGGAATGTAGAGAAGAAGGGAGGAAAAAGGAAATAAAGGAGAGGAAGGAAGGTGGGGTGGAAAGGGAGAGAAGGGAGGGAGAGGAAAGGAGAAAGATAGAGGGGATAAGGGGATGTTCGCTTGAATCGAGGCTTCTTTGAGCGGAAGCCTCTTGGGGCGTCTTATTTATAATCAGAGTTCTTCTTTGACAAATCAATGGCTTATTGTGTGAGTACCAGAGAGTTTATATATATAAAGTAGTATAGGCTTTTACGGCGCTCGCAACTATGTAACCAGTCCCAGAGAGCTTATAGTATACTACCTCCGCATAGCAAAACAACACTCAGCCCTTCCTTTGTTCTATTTTCACGTCTTCTGCCGAGTGCAGACGCATTGGCGTGGTAGTTTTTGTCAGTACCATAGTATCATGTCTACGACTGATGAGTGGTAATGAGAGAATGGTTGTGGAAAAGTGGAGGGGGGAGGGGAGGAGGGAGGGAATGGATCCTGGCTTTTACAGTGATAGAAAGAGAGTGAGGGGGGTGCGTGTGTGTGTGGGTGTGTGTGTATGTGCGTATGTGTGTGGGTGTGTGTGTGTGTGTGTGTGTGTATGTGTGTGTGTGTGTGTGTGTTTGTGTGTGTGTTTGTGTGTGTGTGCGCGCGTGTGTGTGTGTTTGTGTGTGTGTGTGTGTGTGTGAGTGAGTGAGTGTGTATGTGTGTGTGTGAATGTGTGTGTATGTGTGTGTGAGTGAGTGAGAGAGCAAGAGAAGGGAGAAAGAGAGGGAGAAACGGAGAGGAGACAGACAGACAGACAGACAGACAGACAGACAGACAGACAGACAGACAGACAGACAGACAGAGACAAAGCAATCTGGGAAAGGGGGGATGTGGTTGAGAAAGGATTAAGGGGGGAAATGGAATTTGATTAAAGTAATGGCGAAGACTTAAGACTTAGGCGAACCCTCTTTCCGTAGATTACAAAAGTTGTGTGTATGAGTGTGTGTGTGTGTGTGTGTGTGTGTGTGTGTGTGTGCATGCACTTTGTTTTTGTTAGTCTTTTTTGTTAGTTTCTTTGTTGTTGTTGTTTTTTTTATGGGGGTGTTAAGTTCAGTTTTATTATGTGTTTTACAGCACTTACAACACAACTAGGTCATATATTATAAGTGCCGAAGATTAGTGGTGTTACTGGGAGAGAAGAGGACCACAGGTGTGCGATAGGAAAGAAGGAGCAAATCGGGGAAGGTGGGGGTGGTAAGTGTACCTTTGAATAAACAGAAGCACATCGACATATTAACAGACAAGACCAAAGTGGTGACAAAAATCAACGCAAATGAAAATAAACAACAGAGGGATAGAAAAGAAGTAAGACCTACCAGTGGCGATTGAAGACAAGATAGAAATAGAACGTTCGGAAGGGAAATGGGTCTAAAAGCACCCCTAA